CAAGTCAGAGAAAAGATCATGGCCAACCAAGGAAACGCCACCGCACCCTCTACTGTTGTCCCAGCTTTCCAAACTGCCACTGGGACTTCCTCGAATTCTGCCACATCCGCATCTTCGTAGGAGGTGCCGCTCCATATCCCCACTGTTGTCCTAACTGTCGTTCCCCACGCGCTGACGCCAACCGAGGAACAGCTCATGAGAGCCCTCGGCAGCATCAAGCAGGGAATGGCTGGGCTACAAGCGCACCTCGCTCAGGTGGAGAAAGCCCAAGCTGCCCAATGAGAGTTCATCTCTGCCCAAGGAGAGTTCATCGCTGCCCAAGCGGCTCAAGCTGCCAACACCGCTGCGACACCCGCCGTCATCACTCCCCCACCATCTACTGCTGAGCCTAACCAGAGGCCTGAGGGACACAGGGCTGTTGAATGCCCGCTTGCTGAAGTCCCCATGTACGTTCACTACCAGTCCCTCATGGATAATACATTTATTCCAAGTTCTGCGCCCAGAGGCTCTAGCCACTACGAGGTGAAACCAGCGCTTGTCAGCCTGGCTAGCCAGAGCCAATTCCATGGGCTGCTCAATGAAAGCCCATACGAGCACTTATAGAACTTCAACAGGATCGCTGCCACCTCTAAATCACACGGCATCACGGAGGACGCTGCGAAATTAATTCTATTTCCATTTTCTTTAACATGAGAAGCCAGGAAATGGTTTGATAATCTATATCCCATTCATGTCACTTTCAAGGAAGCAGCGCAGGTCTTCGTGAGTAAATACCATCCTCTATCAAAAACCATTCGTCAGAGGAATGAAATATTAAGTTTCAAGATGGCGAGTGACGAGACCCTTCCTAGAGCCTGGAGCCGCTACAAACAATTGCTCCGCAACTGCCCTCATCATGAAATTCCAAATTTCATGGAGCTGCAAATTTTCTACTTACGAATCACTCATGAAATGAGGATGTCTTTGGATGCAGCGGCAGGAAGCTCGCTGATGGGGCGCTGTGCCTCAGAAGCAAGGGCTCTAATCGAAAGAATGGTGGCCAATCAGACGAATTGGCCAGAGACCAACAGGCCAGAGCCATCGAGGGGTCTATATCAAGTTCTTGCTTCAGTTTCCCACGATGTACAGATAGACAGTTTGTCTATCCAAGTCAAAGAGTTGTCTAAACTCATGAAGCAGGACCTGCGTAATAAAGGGAAGCAAGCAATGCATGAGGCCACAGAGATTAAGGAATGCGCCTATCCAGACCAACAAAGCCCGCAGGTTGCTGAGTGCTCATCTGAAGAGGCTTAGAACCCAGCGGGGGTCTTCTATATGGCTGGAAGAAATGCCCCTCAATTCCAACAGTTTAAAAAAGGGCATGCTTAAGGCCCCGCTGGACCGTGTCCTCAGAAACAATTCCACGACCACAACAGTTCGCTGCGCAACAATATCACCAAAGGGGATTCTATCCACAACAACAATAGTACTTTCAAGCCCCCTACTTTCCGTAACAGACACCTATTTTTGTCCAACCTCCCACAGCGGCCCAAGCGCTGCTGAGTCTGGAAGAACTCTGGAGGAACATAGAGCGCGCAAATTAGGAGTTCCAAAGAAATACATCTGCCTCGATCAAAATGCTGGAGATCTAGGTTGGGCAGATAGCTGAAGCTATGAAGCTGAAGCAGAAAGGAACGTTGCCTGGGACAGTCGAGACTATCCCGAACCAAGCAAAGGCTATCGAAACAAGGGGTGGGAAGCAGACGCAATCACCACCGCTGCCAGACAGAGGTACTAATACTCCTTTTACCCCTATTGTTGCAAATTTGTCTGCGCAGGATGAAATTATTCAGATTTCAGTTGAGGAAGATGGTCCATCCCAACCGCGAGTGATACCAGCCGCTCGGGTGCCTGAACCGAAGGAAAAGGGTCCCGTTCAGCCATTGGCTAGGGCTCCATTTCCTACTAGACTTGGGAAGAAGGACAATTCCAAGGAATTTGATAAGTTTGTACATAATTTCCGTAGTCTTAAACTTACTATACCATTTGTTGATGCTTTGTCACAGATGCCACATTACGCTAAGTTTATCAAGGACATTATCAATCGAAAACGGGCATTCCCTGACGAAGTGGCAGCGGTGTAGCTGGAAAGTGTGTGCAGCGTCGTATTTAAGGATGACCTCCCAAGGAAACTAAGTGATCGTGGGAGTTTTATCATTATTTGTACCATAGGAAATTTAGAGCCAATTAGGGCATTATGTGATTTAGGAGCAAGCATCAATCTTATGCTCTTTTCGTTTTTTCTCTAAATTAGAGTTTTATGAATTAGAAGCATGCAGAACTGTAATTCAGCTTGTCGATAAATCAATAAGACTTCCTAAAGGAATTATTCGTGATGTACTCATGCAAGTGAACAAATTTATTTTCCCTGCAGATTTTATTATAATGGAAATGAGCGAAGATCGCGAAATTCCAATAATACTAGGGAGACCTTTCCTGGCCACCGCTCAAGCTACAATAAACGTCGCCGAAGGCGAAATCTCATTAAGCTTTGGTGGTGATAAAGTCACGTTTTCCATGAACAAACCACTGCGCCAACCGCAGGAAGAAAACTGTGATTTTATCAATGAGTTAAATGAATTATCAACTTTTGAGAACTGTATAACACTTGAAAATCTGGAAGGAGTTTCAGATAATGGTTCGCTTGAGCTGAAAGCTGGCGAGGACTCCAGTGAGGCAAGCAGTGAAAGACCAACGCCCATTGAGTCTATAGAGGAAGCCACGAGGGAACCAACGAGCGATACCTGCACAAGGGACGAGCTGAAAAAATTACTTGAGCACCTCAAGTATATATACCTTGGCCCGGATGAGACTTACCCGCTGATAATTTCCACCTCACTGCTGCCGGACCACGAGGCTCAGCTCGTCTTACTTCTCAAAATAAGGAAAACGGCGTTTGCATGGAAGATTACGGATATCAAAGGAATCAACCCAGCGGTGTATGCACCATATTAGGCTGGACGCTGATGCAAAGCCATGCAGACAACCTCAGCGGTGTCTAAACGAAAATATGCAAGAAGTAGTAAAGAAAGAGATAATCAAGCTGTTCGATGCAAGAATCATTTACCCTATCAGTGATAGCCAGTGGGTCAGCCCAACCCAGGTGGTTCCCAAGACTGGAGGCTTTGTCGAACAAACAAGCGACGAGGGGGAGGTTTTCATGACAAGATTTGTCACTGGATGAAGGGTTTGCATCGACTACAAAAGATTGAATGCCGCAACAAAGAAGGATCATTTCCTACTTCCGTTCCTTAATCAATCCCTGGAGAAGCTTGCAGGACACGAATACTATTGTTTACTCGATGGTTACTCAGGCTATCATCATATTCCCATCAAGCCGGAGGACTGTGAGAAAACCACATTTACATGTCCATATGGTACGTTCGTTTAGAGGAGGATGCCGTTCAAGCTTTGCAATGCCCCGGCCACCTTCCAACGGTGCATGTATCATATATTTAGTGATCTCCTGAACTCCTACATAGAAGTGTTTATGGATGACTTCTCGGTTTATGGCAAGATATTTTTCAGATGCCTGAATAACCTGGAAAAAGTACTTCTCCGTTGCATCGAGACTGACCTCGTGTTGAACTGAGAGAAGTGTCATTTGATGGTAAATGAAGGAATCATCTTAGGCCATAAGATCTAAGCTGTTGGAATAGAGGTAGACAGATCAAAGTTAGTGTAATCGAAAAAATGCCAGCACCCTCGAATGAGAAAGGAGTGCGAAGTTTCCTTGGACACGCGGGGTTCTACCGCCGTTTCATCAAGGCTTCAGTCAAATTACACAACCGTTCATTGCATTGTTGTGCAAAGATTCTCAGTTTCACTGGTCAAGCGAGTGTGAGGAGGCTTTCCTTATCTTAAAGGAGAAGCTGACCACCGCTCCTATAATTTCTGCACCAGTGTGGAGCGAGCCATTCGAGTTGATGACGGATGCAAGCGACTATGCCGTCGGCGCTGTATTAGGACAAAGGGTGGAATCCAAACTTAATGTCATATACTATGCAAGCAAATCACTGGATTCCGCTTTGTTGCCTAGCAAGGTCCGTTGCAATTTTGCAATAGATTGTATTCCGTAGCAATATTTTCCATTGCAATTTCCAATTTTTTTTGTAGTGACAGATTTTAATGATGCATCCTTTGATTCCATTATCGTATTCTTTGGAATATCCAAAATTTTCAAATCGAATACTAATAATCGATAGGCAGTACTGTTATGTGCATATCCTATTAAAATGCAGTCCACTGTCTTGGGACCGATTCTTACACGTTTGGGAGGTGGCACTACTACTTTAGCCAGACACCCCTGCACTCGAAGGTGTTTGTAAGATGGTTTTCAACATTTCCAAAGCTCATAAGGGGTATTTTTTATCATTCTTTTGACGTATTAAGTTAAGCATATAATTGCTGCTCAAAATTTCCTCCCCCCACATGTTTTGGGGTAGTCCACAACTTAACAACATCCCATTCATAATTTTTTTTAATGTGCAATTTTTGCATTCAATAACACCGTTTGATTTAGGTGAGTAAGGTGGAGTTACTTCGTGAATTATTCTATTTTGTGCACAAAATTCACCGAACAGAGTTTCATATTTTCCACTTCTATCACTATGACTTCGTTTAATTCGTTTGTTGAGTTGATTTTCCACTTTATTTTTGTACAGAATAAATTTACTTAATGTCTCGTTTTTGCTTTTAAGTAAATACACATAACAATATTTTGTACAATCTTCAATAAATATAATAAAATATTTATTACCACCTCGTGTTTGTACAAATTTTAAATCACATGTCACTGTGAATTAATTCGAGTGGTTCAGTTTCACGGTGAATAATTTGGAAAGACGACCGAGTTTGTTTTGCTTCAACACAAATTTCACATTTATATTTATTTAATTCAAATTTTGGAATATAATTCAGGTTAAGTAATCGACGAATTGAATCATAATTAACATGATGACTCAACAATATAAGCATCATACTTATTATTATTATTTTCAATAACATTCATAATACACCATTTCAAAAGTTCATCCTCTACATAACCCTTACCCACATAACTTTATGATTTACGCAAAACAAAATTATCACCATTTATATTAATATTAAAGCTATGTTTCATTAGGAGCGTCCCCGAGACCAAATTCTTCGTCATCGCCGGCACATACAGAAAGTTGGTCAGTGTCAAAACTCTTCCGGACATCATCATCAAAAGCATATTTCCTCTCCCTTTGACTTCATCAGGAGCAACATTCCCCATGTACATTGTTTCTCCTTCAACACGCTCGAAGGAGAAGAAATGATTCTTATTCATGCAGATGTGGCTTGTTGCTCCCATGTCGAGCCACCATTGTTTCGTGTATACCAAACAAACGCTGTTATTCTAATGTTTTCTCATTTTGAGCTGGAGATATTAATAAAGGTGTAGAAAATAATACAGAGTTTGAAGTTAAAATATCCCATTTTTCTCGTATAATATCTGGTAAAGTTGGAATGAGGTCACAGTTCACTAATTTGAAGGATGCTAATGGAAATTGCCTTGCCAACAACTCAGGAATATTCCTCTCGTTTACTTCATTTCTGGAAGCAAGTGTGCCTCCAAACGAACACTCTCAGGTATGCCTCCTATAATGCATTTCAGTAATGACTGAGGCAAGAGATGCAAATACTTCTCTAGAAATATAAAATATTCTCCATAGCCAAGAGAGTCAAACTTGTTAACAGAATATTGTTCCATTAACCAATACTCACATTTGCAAAGCTTCCTCAAGAAACAGAACCTATGTTCAAGAGAGAGATCTTCGTAGCTTGGGATGTCATTCGCAAAATATTCAGAATTTTTCTTCATAATACCTTCGACTGCAACTACAGATACATAAAAGAGGAATAAACGCACTAACAGAATAATGATCATATCTTCCCATTCAATTTTAATTAAAACAATCATTTCATGGATAAAATGGAATTCAGTAGAATATATGTATATATATACCAAACACCTAACAACTTTGTAATAGAATGCTAATACCATCATTTCTCGAACTATAAGACACAAAATAAACAATAAAATCCTACAAATGTGCTAAATGATAGATTAACAACTTTCGTTTGTAGAGAGTAAAAGGTATCAATATTTAAAAAAGAGAATCAATTTTCATATTTGGAGAGCAAAAGGTATTTATATTTAAAAGATGGAGAATCACATAGAGGTGGTAACCGAGGAAAAGGCGAGAGCCAGAAAAACAGAAATAACTAGGGAAAACCAGGAAAAGGAAACTTGGACTAGAAACAGAATAAGACTATAAATTATCAATAATCCTATATAATCAACACAAGTGAATTTGAAAATATAGAACTTTATAATAATTGTTCAACTTTGAACTTGCGACGAGAAGCATAGTAAACTATAATTATCATAGAGAATTACCCTCATCTCTGTATAAGAGTATAAGTGAGTGAAACATGTGAGATACAGATAGATGCCAAATAGAAAATGCTTAGAGAAATGAGCTTCAAATAGCAGCTAGCCTAGCAGTGGATGGTAATTCGTTCTCACTCCCGATTGCAACGGACATTACCATCTCAAACTAGTAATAAGCACAACTAGCAGCTTTCAGAGTTACAAAGTCAAGTTTCAAAATTACAAAAATATAAAATATAAAATATAAAATATAAAATAAAAAGAAAAAACCATCCTTACGGGACAATAGATCAAACTGTCTGGCCCAGAAATTAAATCCAATCTGCAGCCAAGTCATTAAGGGGGTGTTCTTTTGGTGTTTTTTGTGTGTCGGTGTTTTGGTTTTTGGATGAAATAGTTGTTGGATGTAATGTTTTGTATGAAAGATTAGTATATATTTAGAGGGGATTATAAGGTTTGGGAAAAAATTTTAAAAAATAAAATAGAGTCTATGAGTAAATTGACAAAGTCCAGTACAGAAAAAATAAATATAAACAAATTATCTTTTCATCCTCGACCCATAAAGGTTAAAGAATAAGCCAAAGCAAAGTCCATCAAAAGTACAGTTTGGCTCATGACAATTAAAGAAAAGAGGAGAGCAAGACAAAAACAAAAGCCTCATTCTTATTCAAGGGCAGAAACTAAGGTCAATGCTTCAAGATGATCATGATAAAGAGTGTGGTAAGTCCTGGTGGCATGAAAAAGAAAAAGAAATGGCACAGCAGCTATAGAAAAGACAAACAGATGTTTGCATGATACAAACTTCATGTGATCAAGCATACCATGCAAGTGCAATTTCTTTGCAAAACTAAGGGCAAGAACAAATTAAATAACCCCAATCAGGTTATAACATAACATGAATCCAATAGTGAAAACCAAATCATAAAAACACTAAGGGTAAGTTTCTTTAAGGTCTGATTCATCAATTTTCACCTTAAAAACCATAAAATCAAACACCCATTTTTTCATTAAATACATACACAAATTTATATCACATCAAACACTATTTCAATGATATTTTTACTATTCCCAAGAACCAAACCCAAATCAAACCTTAAAGGAACACACACCCTAAGGATCAATTCTCTGAGTTTTTTTTTTTTTTTAAGTTTTTTTTACTATTCAACTCTCACGATTTCCTATAAAAAATACACTATTTCCTCTTTGCAAAATATCACATTTAACTGCTATTTAAACCAAAACACAAAACCAAACACACCTAAGAGTGTTTAGATATGTTTTGGAAATGTTTTGGGATTTTGATTTGGTTTGGGAATCGTAAAAAATTGAATAGAGAATGGGTGTTTAATGTGATATAAACAGATGTTTACTGTGATGTTTAGGAGACACAAAAAAAAAAATTTATGAAATATTTTAGATAGAAAGATAGATTTTAGATGAGATGTTTTTTAGATAGATAAATTTTGATGAATAGTACGAAAGCAGTTTTGAAAACATACATAAACAGAGCATAAGTGTACGCCAGAGATTTACTAAATTTTGCACTCCAGATTCCATACCATAATCACGGCCACAAACTTTTGATGTTGATCCAGGAAGATCCTCTCAGTACGTTTAACATCAATGCTCTTATAAGCAGTTGAACTGTCACATGGGGTGTCATCCATTCTGTGCTCGCTAGAAGTTTGGTGAAAAGTGTTGTATATATTATCCGGCATTTCAAGCTTTATAAACATAAGCTGTCATGAAAATAAGCTAGTTAGGCCAACATATGCAAGGATAAAATGATGCATTATTACCATTTGCATGACACCAATGACAAGTAGAAGTCAGTCAAACAAAGGATCTTTCAAAAACAAACATGTGCAAGCAAGAAAAAGTGATTTGCAGAGAGCAACAATAATAAGATTTGATACACCAGAAGCGTCCGAGTATATCTCCTATAAATTCCAATTCTAGGATTTGGATAGTGATAAATTCAGCAAAGTTGGTCAAGCACAACAAGATTCAGAGCATCTTGCATGGGTCCACTCCTCATAATTTACTCAAATCCTATTATTTCCTAAGTGCCCTGCCTTCAGAATAAATTCTATAGATGTAAATAACTTCTCTTTATTTCCCCTATGTGGCCAATAATTTGTCACCCTATTAAAATTTTTATTTTACTCTTCTAAAAATAAGTAAAAAAATTAACTTCTTGTTCCATTTTTCGAGGACATTTTATTGTTCAATCTTATTAACAGCAATCCACTTTCTACTTTCTGTATGTATGATTCCAATACAACTATCATCAGAACTTAATCCACCATTAAAATCATGTTAAGAAGCAACTCAATGCTCACTACTTGGCACTAAAATAACTTCTCATATCAACAGACACTTAACATATTTATAGTTAATGAATTAAAAATCAAGAAAAACAAATGTCATACATATCAGCAAGAACAGTAAACTAATTCATGCACAAAAACCTGCTGAAGATAAAGAAAATTTTATCAAAATGTTCGATGTTATGAATCTAATGCCCAAAAAATGAAAAAATAAAGACACAATCATATACTTACAGCAGCATAGAGCAATCCCATAAACGGATATGTTGTGAACATTTCTTTCACTTTTCTCTTTTTCCTTGTTTCATAAAACTGAAGCATCTTTTCAAGCACTTATTGTGCAAGATTAAGTAATATTTAAAGAGTGAAATAGCACCTTAACATAATCATTTCTCTGGGGAAAAGTGGGGGTGAGGATTTACCAAAATGGAAAAGTAACAAGGATAAAAGAATACAGAGTACAGATATCTATAAAGGTAAAAATGCAAACATGATTGCTAGAGGATGAGCTAACCAATAATGCTCTTGACTGTCTAATAAGTTCACATGTAACTTGTTGCAATATCCAACTTAACAAAATATCAGCATTTCAAACAAAATGCATGTCAGATAAAAGTTAAAAGACACTAAAAGTTGCTTCTATTACCTCATCAGCATTGTTCACTTGGCAGGCCTCTTTCCAAGGTGTAACAAACATTCTTAATGACTCTGCAGATATAGAAGGACCACCTAAAACTTCATTGTTAGGGCTCTTATGCGTGGTACTTGCATTGGTGTTATCCCGTTTAGACTCCTTCACCGGAGAAGATCTGCTTGATCTGATCTGCTCATATTTCCTCTTTTCCCGAGGCACATGATCTGAAGTGCGACTTACAGCACCACTATGCCTACGAAGCCTTGAGTCACTGTCATTTATCAACCCCAGCCTTTTCTTTTCTTCATTTGCGGATGGATAGGGGCAATTACTTGCACGATCTAATCCATTTGACAGGGGAACACGGCCGATGTCAGTATTGTTCCCAACTTGAGTAGTGTCATATTCAGCATCTTCAGAGGTATCATCTTCTTCGGAGGGATCATCATCTGAACTTGAAGCAAATCTTATATGTTTACCACAAAACTGAGGAGAGGTGAAAGATTTTACTCGCTCTGATATTTTAGCAAAATTTTCGTCCATTTCTTTTTTCTGTACATGGATAAGAGGTTTCGTGCTGCATTTTACAGATTTTGTTCTCAGTTTCTTAGTGCATTTTTCTAGCTCTATGCTTTATGATTTCCTTGCCTTTTTTATATGATTAATATACATCCTGCACAGAGGTGGTTTCATCGATTCAGTCAAATACAATATAATAACAGAAAACCGTATTCATCATTGGATCTATCACTCAAAAACATTGAACAAAAAATAAAAAATGCATTGTCATGATAATGTACAAATACTCATCCAGAAAAGGGATAATAATAAAATAAATAGAAGTGTAATAGAATTTAAACAAGAAGAGAAATTTCTGGATGCAACTTGTAATTAAGTTTTGTTCGTAGGAAGCTGAGGTTCTATGGCATTGGCTTTCACTGTTACTTGGGCTATCGATAACAAATAGCACATTCAACTTTATCGTTGTTATTTAAATCCCGCAAAAATTCATAAGATCAGATGATTTAGCCTTTTTACTGCAAACTTTGTCAAGTGATATTGATACATATCTATCTATAGAAGATACAAGTCTATTAGGTAAATCAATTTGTCACTTACACCCTACTTGATTTAGTTAAAATTCATTAGCAAAGCAAAATATATGTAGCTTTAACTTATGTAGGTAGTAAAATAAACCAATTCATGCAGTTTATTTCCCTTCTGATGGAAGAAGCTAGCTTCTCGACTTATTCCATCTCTTTCTTGGAGGCTCTGATCCACTTCCTGTAGATCATTTAAACCAACAGCTCAAATAAAAATATTTCATTTCTAAACAATGAAAAAAATAAAATAAAATTATATGATCATAGGAGTAATACACCTAAAAAAACAGCCACTGTATACAAATATCCAAAAAGAGATCGGTTCTATCTTTGATTTTCTGTGAATGATTAGTTCAGTTCACGGTCAACTAATTATGCATACAAAGGCATACAGGATTCTTTAAGTTTATAAGGAAAACTTAAGCACAACGTCATAATCATTATCATATGTGCTGATACTAAATTGCACATCTACAAACCAAAATAAATAAATAGAAGATAGAATTGATTTGCTGAAGTTCAAACACAACATTGACGAACAATCATCATTCAAATGTATTTCTGGGGAAATAAGTCACTATTACATTCTTCTAGACAATTATACTGTAGGTAGCACTCAATAAACAATTTATATCAAAAGCAAGTTATATGGGAGAACCAGCAACAATTTAGCATCATTCAGTGGGCAGCAGCTAGGTTTGAGCCATTATATGTTAGGGCAATTTTGTGTTGCAAATGAAACCCTTTACCATTTTCATGTAAAAAATGTTTGTTTCATGTGTTTTATTTTCATAGAAAGACATTTATAAGATACACTTCTTTCTCACAAATATTTTCTGTACCGGGCTTGAATACACTACGGAAACCAGGTGGCATCGCCAGCTATGTCAATAAAATTCCATTGTAAAACAATGCATATCATATGACTGGAAAAAAACAAAAAAAAACTTAGTTTATGCTTAAACAGTAATCTGCTTTCAAAACATTGCTCCTGCCCTCTAATATTCACAGTCAAACGATTCTTTATGAGAAAGGCATTATGGCAACAGATATATGCTATATGCCAGGATAATACTATTGTCATAGAAAAAACAATAAGCCCAAATATTGATGTAATCATCAGTACTAAGAAAAGAAGAATGGATTTCAACCACTTACCCTTTCTTAGCTCTTCCGACCGCATGCTTTTCTGAAACCCAGTAACCGTTCTATCCTGCAACATTATTATTTTATTATTTCATAACAGAATTTCCTAGATTTTGTGAATTGAAAAAATAAATAAATAAATAAAAACAGTCTACTCATGATAAGTATATACACCTAAACGCCTAAACCCACTAGATCTTTTTTGCACAAACAAAAATTAAATTTTTTAAGAGTAAAGTAGTTTATCGATAGAAGTTAATGATCTAATAGTTAAGTTATAGAAAAACAACAAAGGTGTGTTCTTTAGGACTATCTTTCCAGACTTTTACTATTCATAAAAATTTTCTTTCAAAAAACATAAAATCAAACACTTATTTCTTATTTTTTATATTATACAAAAAATTAATTTTAAATTCAAAACACACATCAATACTTATTTATATCACATCATGCAACTATTCCAATTCAAAACTTTTACTATTCAAATCTCAAACCCAAAATGCAAACCCCCGAACAAACACACCCCAAATATCAATTTCGTCCCCAAGAATACAAACCACATAGAAACTAGAAATATAAAAAATTTAGGCTGCAAGAATATCTCTGCAAGTTGAGCATTCAAGACATTGCCATTTTTAATACTACTGATCTGAAAGAAGTTAGGACACTTGGTTGGATAAGGCAGGTTAAGAAGCAAATATCCATTAATATAAACGGTGTACATTACTGAATTCTCAAAAACCATAATTCCAGAAATTGGTTTTACAGATGAATAATATGTTCGAAGTTAGGACCACAGTTTTACCAAAATAGAGAAAATGTAAGCTGTTTCTAGCACTTAAGGGTGCACATGGTTGAGATCTGTTTTATGAAAAAAAAAAAAATAGTGCCTGGCAAGTTATGGGCTTGTGCAAACGTTAATAATAAATGGCACACTCACACTCAATGATAAGAGATAAGAAAAACAGAAAACATTACCACACTGTATATCGCTCTTTCATTGCGCCAAAATTCCAATGTCGGCATCAGCAATCTCCCTGAATTTTTGGTGAAGAAGAAATGGAAGAAACAAATTTCATCAATGTTGTCCTTTTTTATATATATATTCTCTCTGGCTGTTAAAGAGCATCAAATTATTAATTGATGGAAGTAAGATAATATTAAAGAGCTTAAAGGAATTTACATACCTGATCTGGATCTTGTACAACTCATTAGCCTACTTGAAGAAGCAGGCCCAGTTTGTTCATGTCCTACGTCAGGTGTTTTCTTAACCAGATGAGGAGAGACAGAGAGGTAAAATACATTAGTCATACAATCCATCATTAAGTGCTTTATAAATCTTTCAATTGAAAAAATTATGCCTTTTCAGGGTATTTGTAGGTAAATCCTGAATGGTAAGATAATGTTACCGGAGTTTATTCATGTACTGTAATATTTAAAATTCTCAAGACAGGTGACATAGGTAACAGATCTTGATGGGGTGCAGTGCCCACTGCTCAAATACATTAATTCTGAAGGATGATTACTTAATATATGCTTTCCACTGGCAAATCCATACTGACACAACCGGCAACATGGAACTTACAAGGTGACATGATCTTCTTATCCAAATCTTTCCACTAGGTTTCGTTGCATAGCCAACAGCTCGCAACTTGAAGCACTTCGTTCCATGGGCATCAATAAACAGTCCTATATGTTGCCTATATAATGGTTATATTATTATATATCATCGTACAACCACTAAATTAGTTAAAATGTCAATTGGAGGAAAAAACTTTATTAGTGGGAACTCGAAGTCATTACAAAGGATGAATAAGGGAAAAACTCCACGAAAGAAAGATTTATGAACTCCAGTTCGATTCCGGCATGCTACAGATTTTAGTTATTGGGAGAACCTGAGTGCGAACCGGGTAAACTACTGAACCAAGGGCAATAGTTTGCACGCCAGGCCATCCAGGCTCAACCGAGAACGCGTCGGCAGAAGATCTTAAACTCATACCCTTGCGATCATAAGTTCACCCACCACAGCATATCGGTCACCCCCGGAGCAAGTTCAATGTATTCTTCTTGTTTTTTTTTTACTCAGAAGTCACTATATTCTCGATTGTATATATTGATGCCTTGTATCACAAACTTTTCTTTCTTTCAAATAAGTGGCTTAAGGCTAACTTATAGCATGAAGCATATTAAGAGTAAAGGGTATAGTCATGATTTTAAAACTGCAAGGGAATAGTGCAATAAAGATACCACTGAAAAGTGTACTCACATATTCTCTTCTTTTAGTCTTAGCCCCCGATGCTCCAGCACTCTCAGACAAAATACTTGCATCAGCATCTACTTTCTGCTTGTAGGTACCCTCACGGAGTGGTCTTGTCACTGTACTTTTCTTCTTACTCTTTCTGTCTTTAGGCTTAGGCATATTCTTTGAATGCTGCGTAGGAGCCTCAAAATTATGTCCAAGATCATTTTTAACTGAATCAGCATCCAACTCTATCCTTCTCTTTATACCTTGTGGAACATATTGAGCATCGGCCAAAGATTCTTGTCCGGTGATTCCACAGGAAATGGAAGGCATATTTAAGTTACCCTCAGAGACCACATTGGCAGGTTTCTCGGAATATGGAGCTGCTACACTAGGTTTTTTGTTTTTTTTTACATCCTTAGCATTCATTCCATCTTTAGATCCCACAAAATTTTCGCACCCATCTTCAAAGTGATTCACACCTTCAGCCACAATTTCAGAACAACAGCAAAAAGCAGGAAATAAAAATAAGAATAGACATAGAAACCATAATCATTAATCATCAACAGTATAACATAGCACTGAAATAAAATGGCAAGTATACCTTGAGATTTGAAAGATAAATTATTGTAAAGGTCAACTCCGGAAATGTTGTCAGGGGAAGATTTTTTATGCTTGCACTGTTCATCATAGTCCTTCCAGTTAGGTGGAAAGCCAAAAACAAAATGATTGCATACCTGTTAAAGCAATGCTTTAAACCTAATGATGAGAATGCTAATACTATGACAACACCCATCCACTTAAGATAAATGACATGCAAAAATCAAAATCAACACTATTGACCCTGCATAGTTTTCAATAAAAATATATTATTTTCTTTCACAAAATATCATAACAAAATATTATTTAAACAAAGACTCAAATCAGCACCCCATTTCAAATCAATTTCAAACCACAACCAAACAATATTGGGTTTTCCCTTTTCTTCAGAAATTAGAAATACTCTCCAGCTTGCCAGGCAAAAAAATAATGAAATTCAGAACTGCAAATCAAGAAACATGTTTCAACTACTTTTTAACATTTGATTTTCAATAATAGCTGTATAAAAATGCTCTCTTAACAACATTCAAATTTGCTAAGCAAATGATTTTTTGTTAACCCTGATGTCATATTATATAATATAAGTGAAAAGGCTGAAGCTAAAACATTTGAATTGTATTCTGTCACAATTTGAGATTCTATTGAGAAATAATCCAAAACATTCCAAGATGATAAGGCAGCACAGCACAACTAACTGTTTAGGAACTTCTCCAGTTTTTAAACTTACTCCTCTTCGTATTATGAAAGATCATGCACCTGTAAAACCTTTAAGAGAGCACAAAAATCACATCTTATAGGAAAAAACATCTGAGACTCGCCCTTCAAGTTATATAGTTAACAATAAATACATCCTGAAAGAGGGTAAAAAAACCCTTCACATGTCATTATTTGGCAAATACAAGTTCTTGAAGTGGATTATACTCGAACAAGTTCAAGATAGGCGAAAGAAGCTTGAATTTTATATCAAAGGCAAAAGACTTAAAACTAAATGGCCAGAGAAGTGTATCTGTGAACTTACATCAGATGGAAACCCATTTTCCAAAGTCTGAGCTTTGTTTATAAAACCTTTCAAGATTACACATATCCCATCAGATGTCTCAAGAGTAAATATATCATATCTCTTAAGGATTGGCGCAGATGAAAAAACTCTCAAGGCTTGTTTCCTATAACCAAAAAAAAAAAAGAAAAAGGAAACAATAGATGAAGCCTACTCGAGATCAAAGTATGTAATTCAAGATTTAATGCCATTTCAGTTTAAACAGAGAAGCATCAGGAAACAAAAAAAAAAAAAAAACTAAGTCATGCGAATTGTGAATCTGTGCAGATGCAGCAACACAGACAAAGGTAGGCCTACAAATAACATGAACAAAGAGAAGCATTAAAAGGACTTCCGAGGAGTAAAGACCAGCAGGCATGAGGTCAAGTTCCTGGTTTGTACCAGTGAAGACACTTAGTGGAAAATTAATAAATGTTAGTAGTCTATTATGCAAAAGTGTCTTGAGATTTGAGAGAGAGAGAGATTATCCTTTGGGTGGGTGGATAGGCTGTATACTGATTTGTTGGGGAAGAGAATAATGAATTATCATTAACAATACTTTCTCCTTTGGCAATAGAAAGTGATTTCAACAGATAATTGTGAAGAAAGACAATAGCAAATTAAAACTACATTCTCCTATAAAAATACATTATTCACTCTCCCGTAACATCACTTTACATAACTATTTAAAGGAACACACATTCGAAATCTGATCAATTTTGAGTCAGGTTGCTCCATGAGTAATCAAACAATCCAACAATGTATTCTCTTCGTTATACAATCATACTCCCACGTCCCAGTAAAGATGAAGCCTTTTGTTTGAACACGAGAATTTAGGTAGTATAAGTTAATTATTTACATAGTTGAGATTAGTTATTTAATAATTAAAAAAAAAATTAAAATGTGTTTAACATTATATTTCAATAAAAGTATATAATATGAATATGATTTTGTAAAAGCATAAAATTTTATATAATACAACTAAATAAAAAATATATATTTATTTATTTATTATTACCATAAATTAGTTTGATAAAAAAAAAAAATAGGGAGTTTTAATAATAAATAAAAATAATAAAATGGTTTTGAGTGGCTGCTAATTAACAAGGAAAAAAAAAGGACAATTGGTAATCTTGGGACGGAGCATTATGGAGCACAATTATACACTTGCATACTCGAAAACCTAAAGCAGAAACCAAACAAGTATAAATTCAACACCTGCATTAAAGAATATTATGCTAAAGGTAAGTTGAACCAAAAAAAAAAAAAAACAGAAAAAAAACGAAGCTCCTCCATACTCTCGAGAACTAAACCCAGCGACGGCAAGTCCCCTCCTTTGGAAGCCAGTTTCAACTTTTGTCAACCACCAATCAGCCAAACAAACCTTGAATCGCCCAAAAGAGAAACAGAAACCTAATTTAATACCACTTTACAAACCAGAAAGATTAAAGCCACTGGAGCGTCGAATGATGCACGCTTACTGTCTTCTTAAAATGGGACTTGGGCACGTTCCCCGATTCCGATTCCGATTCCGGGGGATGCTGAGGATTTGACGCGGCGCCAATTCCAAGTTTTAAAAAACGTTCAGCGGCACCGGACCTGAGATTTGTGGACTGCATAATGGTGAGAGAATTGTTAGATGCGTTGGGTTTCTTTTGTGTATTGGAATGGGGGGTGTGTTACAGAACTGTGTGAGAAAGATGAGACGGGGATGGAGAGGGGAAGGTGAGGGAGGACTACTGACTACGACTAGCGCCACAACTTTCCCTCCCTTCCTGCTGGGGTTTTGGGTTTTCTCTGGAAAATATATCTATCTAATACTTATAAATAAGGATCGGTACGGATGCCTACCTGATCTTACCATTTTGCCCTCATTTTCCACCCCTTATTACTCCAATCGAAGCAGCGCAGTGAATCGTTCCTCCATCCTCCATCGCCGCCCTCTAATTCTGCCTTCCCAACACCGTCATGAGGGCTGCTTTCTGTCTTTCCTTTCCTTCGTGCGCCTGCAAAACTTGATAAGAATGGGGCTTACTCTGCTTCAGGAATCAAAGATATATTCAAGGATTCAACATCAAGCGCACGACTATAGAGAAACTGAAAAAAGATATCAAAGATGATATTATGTCACTTTTAGAAAAGGTAACCTGCTTATTCATGCAATTCATGACCCTCTTTTTCCATCAAATGACTCTATAAACTGATGGAAAATGATGGCTATTTTTAATGGACAAATATACTTAATATGGTGTTATCGAGTGGCAATAGCTGCACAACTTATTGTATCCACAGTGAAAAGTGTACAAATTCCATACAAACTGGAGTTACGAATGTAGATTTTACAATTCATTTCTATTCAAGTACCAAACAGGAAAGTGCCTATCAATCTTCTTATTGTTTGCAAATTGTTGCAGTCCAATATTGTCTAGCCATACAGCAAAGTAATCATCTATTAGTTTCTCTATTAATTTTAAGAGGTAATCATCTAGACCAATATTTTCTTCCTGATGAAAATAAACATCCATAGTGAGTAATAGTACCTTCGGCAAATAAACATATCAACAAAGAAATTATAGATAGCACAGTGATGTGATGTATTAGATATATCTATATATCTATCTATATCTATGTTGATGTTAAAAATATTGAAGTGTGTATGTGTGTGTATTGCTTAAAGATAATAGAATTGATATTGTACTGTTGTAGAATGAATGCAAAGAAGGGTATTTACCTCAACAATCTTAGCATGTCTGGTGCCGTAGCTGCAGCTCTGGAGTTCATCACCATATGTATCTCTTGATTGGATTTTATCTCATGGTTTAAGCATAAGTTCTTCCAGCTTTTATTTTTCTGTACCCTGAACCTAGCTCCCATCACCATGCCAGTTGGTGTGTCATAATATATGTCTTCAGCGGTTATGGGAGCCTTTCCGGAAACCTGCAAAATTATAGAGTTAGCAGAGAGTTATGATTCTTGTGAGTCGAAAATAACTGGAGATTCTACAAATCAACGTACAGGGAGGGCTTGGAAGAAGCATAGAATTGAGGAGGATATTAACAAAGGTAAATAATTAATATTATTGTACATTTGTTGTTCGATTGAGATCCGGTTTGAAATTTGAGTTGTTGTGGTGCAGGGGAAGAGAGGAAACTGGCTCAAGGATCTCCAATACGGTGTATTCGGTCTAGGTAACAGGCAATACAAAGATTTCAATAAGGTTTGTATATTGTAGTCTTGTATTTACATTTTATTGCATGAAATGATTGTTCTATGTTATATTTATATGTAAACTTGTTTTGTAATTTACATGGTATGAAAGTGGTTTAATTCTGCTTGATTGAGTAAAATTTTCATTTGAGTTTTGCTTAAAAGATTTTTTTCTTGTAATATGCTGCCAGTCTTAATTTCAGTCTCCTATTGATATCCTCTTTATATGCAAGGGTTAGGATCATTTGTTAAATTTATATTAAAATTGAATTATTGAATGATGATATAAATTATTTACTAAGTTTTATAATATATTTGCTGAACTCGGAACCATGTTATAACTATTGAACTATGGAAAGAATTGTTGAATTATAGTTTAAATCTATTAAATATATATATATATAATATGTTAAGAAAAAAAAAAAATAGTTTAATTAAACCACAATACAGATATAGAACATAATTGAGTACTGAGTAGTGAAAAAGATTAAAACCAATCAACACAACTACTCAAAATATATGTTGATCGCCTTCAAAGTGTTGTTCATCTTATTCATGATTGTATTTTCAGGCTTAAATTTACTGTTTTTTCTTTTGCTGTTTTAGTCTTTATGGGTTTTGAAGCTGTGACTTCTGTGCAATATATAAAGGCCAAAGCTTTGCAGCTATTCGCTGTTGAAGGAATAAGATCAAAGTGTTCTCGTTCAAGTGTTGAGTGTGTGTAGGTATTGAATAGTTTATCGCCTCTTTCATTAAAAAATTTGCTAATCAATTGTATTTGCATGTCTGTTAGGTGGGTTATAATGTGATATTTTGTGTTGATTGGTTTGTTTTTGTGTGAGAAGAAATCTTGCTTAGATTAGAAATGAGATCAAAGTGGCAACACAAATCAGATTGTTTTGGATTTTCGTTTGGTAAATTTCATGAGTCATTTGGGTTTTGATTTGCAATAAATACTTGCCCAAAAAGATTTGATTTTACCTCCATCATATAGATAAATGAGATTTGATTTTCTTTTCATATTTTTTTATTTGTGTAGTTGTATTTTTTCTTTTTAAGTATTGGTGATCTTCATCAGTCATGCTAAACGGGCATTTTTGCCCTAACTTATCTGGTCAATCTTATTTTAGACCTTCATCGATCATCTTCAGATGTGATCTTCTCTCAATCCTATTTTTTGATTACATGGCATTAATAAGAAAAAATAAACTTCATTATATTTCAGTTGGTTTGAGTACAACAATCGAACCACATTTCCTATTTATTTTAGGAAAATATATTTTTAAACTTTTTTTTATACTTTTTTTTTTTTTTGTATCAAAAATAAACGCAATCTCTACAAAATGATATGCAAATGGGCGTGCCTAAAAAGAGGGAATGTGGAGCTTGGGGAAAATCTTTCTTTGGTGGATTTAGAGCTACACCCTAATGCTGGAATGGGTCAGCTATGCTGAAAAGACAGTTTCATTGCTTTAGTGATGAATCTGTGAGTTTCTGATGCTGATGGCTGATTGTTGTTTTGAATTCCAATATGTTATCTTTGCTTTGGCAAATGGTTGTTACATGGGAGGTTTTTGAGTTTGGTTTAGATAGTTGATCATACATATTTTCACTATAAATGGTAGGATAATTAGGATTTCTAGCTTGTTGGTATATCTGATTAAATGTTATACATGCTCTGGTATTTATTTGTCAGTTATACTATATATGCTATCATTAGTTATATGTTCACATCATCGCATGTTGTCTTATGACCAAATGCAGAACTTTGTCTAGATGGTAATCGCTTTCTTGAATGAATTATTAAGGGTGTGTTTAGATATTTTCTTGAATGAATTATTAAGGATGTGTTTAGATATTTTTGGAAATGTTTCGGAATTTTGAGTTAGTTTTCTAATAGTAACAAGTTTGAAAAGAAAATTAAGGGTTTGTGATGATATTTTGAATAAAAAATATATTTTGTTAGAATATTTTAAATGAAAAATAAATTTTAGATTAATACTTTTAGAATTCATCATCAGGGCTTCTGCTACTTTAGGATTGAATCTCCATGTTCAATTTTTGAGGTTGTAATGCTAGAAACTTGTATGATTTTGCATATTTCGAATCGAATTAGCTTGGTTACTTTTTGTTGGAGATAAAAATTAATTTGTGTTTATTGTGGTTATATTTTCATGATTTTATTTTTTTTTAAGCATTTGAAAGATTAATCATCTAAAATGTATTGAGATTTTTTATTTTATTATATATTTTTTGTCAATTATATTTCCTCAGGTATGTACCTTGTGGTATTTAGGTGTGCGAATATGGGTGAGAGTGAGAGTATGAGTAGTGACTTTCTTTCTGATGGATAGAAAGAAAAAAAGGTAGTTTACTGTCTTAGTTGATATGTTCTGGCATTTCAATTTGGCTGTTGAAGAAAAGGAATATACCAAATCAGAGGGAGCACTTATTATTGACATGGAGGTGAAGCAAAAAGACCTTCGGAAATATGATCAAGTGAGAACTTTAATAGTTTCTTATAAGAAACAATCACAATATTATTACAATCTTTAATGCCCTCAGTGCTTTTTTTCTACTTCAAGAGGATTGTTAATTCTCCTTTTGTTGAATGCAATATTAAGCATCTCATGATAATTGCTTAATAATGAAGTTGGATAGTAATACAGTTCAGATGTTTTTGGACAAAATCTTCGAGAATTATAATTCGTGGTCTAAATACTTGTATATTCCATCACATCTAAAGTAAGTTGGTTGCTTTATGTCCATTTTATCTCAATCTTTTGTGTAGTATTGTCTTATATGCCATTCGATGCTTTCATACATAAATTTAATTGTTTAATTGCAGGTATCCGAGGGATGAAAAAACGCGACAATCACAACTTCTTTACATCACATCATGTTTTGGATTGGTAAATTTTGGATTTAATCTAGACTGAGATTAGTTTGTTGTGTTCTTTTACTGTTGTATTGAACCCTGTTTGTCTCCTTAGAGGTCATTTTTGTTAGTTATAGACAATGCATCTATCCACCTATAGTACACAAATGCAAAATTGATTTTAGTTAAATCAGTGAAAGAAAAAATTACTATGCAGGTGTTTTTAAAATACCGATTGAGGAGACCAATTGGTTGCAACATGACAAGCAATTTTTTCTCACAACTTCTTATCTCTTTTTCTCCCTCTCACTCTCCCGTTATAATATCCTAAGACATGCACAATTCACTTTTGAAAATTGGCCATATGAAAATTTTGGCAATTCCAAATGGTGAAAAAGTCTCTTCTATGCAATACCATTCATCTCTTTTGTTTTCTATTTTTAAAATTTAATATGATATGTATTTCTCATATTCTATGTTATAATAAGAAAATTATTCCATAATCAAATTATTATTTAAATACATATTTATAAACTTGGTAGCGGGCCGTAGCCAGCTAAGAGTACTAGTGTATATATATACACTATAAGTCTAAGTTTTTTATTTCAAAAGTTTCAATTTTAATAATTTGTGGAGTTTCATAACTTTTTAATTCTAAATTTAAGGAGTTTTATAACTTTCAAAATATGATAGTGATATTTTTAATATAAGATTATTTTTTTAGTATAATAAAAAATAAATATTTAATTTAATATTTTTATGAAAAAAATAATGAATAATAAAAATTCTAATAAATTATAAACGAACACACTCTAATACTATATTATTAAAAGAACAAATAAAATCATTTAAAAATAAAAAATTATAAAATTTACATTAAGATTCTCAATGTCATCCAACAAAAAATACTATAAATGAATAATAATAATAATAATAATAATAATAATAATAATAATAATAATAAAATACAAAAATAAATACCTAACATATTTTTTGATTTGTTCACATTGTATTTTTCGCACAACTTTTCATAAATATTATAAAAATGCAAATATATACACATTAACACAAAATAAATAATATATACATTTTATTAAGATAGTTGTCTTGCCGACAGTTCATCGTCGTCTTCGATAGTTGTTTAATTCGATGCAAAATGGAATTGGTTGTTGCGGCTAAATTAGATACAAACACGAAATCTTATTTCAATTTATCTTTGTGTTGTTTGTTTTTGTTTTGATTTAAATTCCTAAAAGTTAGAATATACATTGCTTTAATAATTGTATCAGCTTCCATTTTGATTTCGGTATTATAGTGTTTTAGTTTATTCATATTTTATTTCTGTTAATATTTGTATTTTGTATGCAAAATTTTGTTCGATAAATTCAAATGTTTCGAATATAAATTCACAACAAATTTGAGACAAAAGAGGTATAAGGTGTGTTTGTTTGAGGGTTTGAATTTTGAGTTGGGAATTGAATAGTAAAAATTTTGAATTTAAATAGTTGTATGATGTAATATAAATAGGTTGATGTGATGTTTTGAATGTAAAATTGATTTTTAGTATAATATAAAAAATGAAAAATAGATAGTTGATTTGATATTTTTTGGGAAAAAAATGAAATGAATAGTATATTACAAACAAACACACCCTATGTATGTCCTAGCAATGAAGCTCCCGTCAACATAATACTTATAAATCCAAACCTTAAAATCAATACACTTTAAAAATTCAAACCTCGTGACTATAGAGTGTGCTTGTTTGGGATTTTTACAAAAATTTTATTATCCATTAAGTTTTATATTTATTTTTTAAAAATATCAAGTTTGTTTAGTATTTTAATTTGCAATACATATGTCTCTATATATATATATATATATATATATATTTTATATAAATCATGGCCCCTAGTTTATTTCACTATGTTTTGTGTAGTGTTGATTTATTATTATTAATTTTTTTAATTTTTTTTATATATCAAGTTATTTTTAGGATCATTAGTTGAAAGGCTATACATTAGAACGGTTCCAATTATATGTGAATTCATAAGTCTTGTTAAATTATTATTGAATAAAACGGAATAAGCAAATCGATTCGGAAAGTAGAAATTTCGTGAAAGAATTTTTAAGAATTTTTTGAGAGAGTTTCTGGAGCTGGAAAATTTCGTATAAGAGATATTTCTCCAAAAAAAAATCCGCACTGAAAATTGACGAGGAGGACGTTTTTTTTTATGTGAATTACTTTGGGAAGAAGTCGTAATCACTCCACTTTATTTTAAGCACGTTGCATTACAACTACTTTAATTTATCAAATACATCTAACGTTTAATTAGTCATATATTTAATTAGATAAAATATAAAAATAAAATATAAAATTACTTGGATTTCAATGTTATAAAATAAAATATAAAATTACTTGGATTTCAATGTTATTGGGTCACGGCCCAAGTCTTGATTAATTAATTATGAGCTAGCTCAAGCTAAGTCCAAACCAAATCAAATCCAATAAAGAGGGGTGAGTTTGTTGGTATTTCCTACATGGGACATAACTTTTTCATATTACTTTTCTTCTTCTTTCACATATTCATCTAACAAAAACAAGTGTGTTTTTCTTTCAACTTGTTGTATTTCCATCCCTTCGCGTCTTTGAAAAGATAACAAGTGCTTCCATGGAGTTGTGAAGCGGTTAGTTGAAAATTTTCAATTAGATGATAGTCAATTACTCTTTTTTGAAAGCTTTAAAATAATTAAATATTTAATTCGTACCAAACGTGTCAAGACATTTGATAGTAAAGAGATTAAGGAGAAAAATGAGAAATACGAAAATTAAAAAAATTAAATTGCGAGGATGAAAATAAAGACTATAAAACATGTATTGAGAAACTATTGCAATATATCCTATATATAGAATCTAAACGATGTTTTGCAAATCGATATATCGTTTCTAATTGACGAATTAAATATATAGACGCAACCCTTCAATATAAATACATAAAAAATTAAAATTAATAAAATTAAAATAGATATTTTTCTTCATAATCTAATTATATTTAAATTTAAAAAATATCCAAATTTTCTTATAATTTGTAACAAATCCCATGTAGTTTTAACAAAATTATATATTGGTAATATTAAATCACAAGAAGGGGCAGTTGTACACACGAATGGCGACCACTATTCTTCTTTTGTTCTTGATTTCGGAATTGCCAAATTGATCATTGATCCGGGTTGTTCACTGACAGTTGACCAAACACTCGGTGTGGACACCCTTCCCTTTGACTGAATATTCAACCTGGGTGTCAATTAACGTCTAACCGCCGACCACATTACAAACCAGGGCGTTGTTTAGTGTCTTGAGTTATTGTAAATTTGATGATAGATTTTAGTGATTGACTTCCGGATTGGTATACCTCAAATGTAGATTTCAACACTAAATTTGATCAACAAACATTATGTGTCATTCGTTTATGTTTACGTTCGATCAGCCATCGGCTTGTGCTCACTGACACACACAAATATTATGACCAAAGATAACTGGCATATTAAAATTTGTGTTTATCTTATAAGATATTTTAGTTCCACTGTCAAGAAAATTCTAAGGAATTGACCTCTTTTATTACGATTTACAGCGATTATACACTAATATTAATTTTATTCTATTTTTGAAATTCTTTGACTTACAAAAAATTAATTGTCTAAATGGAGCTCAATTTGTTATACGTTGAATGGACACATATCTATGACTATGTTTATGTTATTAATTTAATTTAATTTATTACTTGCATCGCAATTTAACTAGTTCCCCAAAACTACTGCTGATTATTATGTGCTAATTAAAACAGTTGTATTCAAATTCTTACCGTTCATTTTTTGTTTTCACTATTCTTTACAAAAATAATAATAATAGCGACTAATTAATTATAGCTCAAATTTTTTATATGTTTCGTTAGTATTGTTTAGTAGATCAATATTAAATTATTAAGTTTTAATAAAATATATATCCAAATAGTTAAATATATCATGTTAAAATTGAAGAACAGAACGGGGTGTGTTTCTTTTGATTAGTTTAAAAAGAAATTTGATTTGAATTTTATATTAATATGATATTTGATAAGATATTTATGAGAATTTTTATTTTTATTTTTTTTCAGAAAACACAAAGATCGTAAAAAAACTAAGTGGCTTGGGGTAAAGAAACACATTACTACAAATGGAATGGTCTTTAATTTTCAGACATAGAAAGTGTGCACTGGGTAAACCCTCGGCCGAACCTAATACTCTTGAGGCGTCGGGAGTTTGAATTATGATCTCACAGTCACAAATCCAACCCCTACACTACACCACCAGGTCAGAGGTAGATGTTTTTATTTCCTCTTACAACTGTACTAGATTAGAATTCAACTTCAAATAAATGTATCCATATCTATATATATATAATGAATTTGAAGCGGGCAAAAATTGACCCGACACGACACGAAATAATTGGATTTGGGTCAAAGCTTTCAACCCGATTACGTATACAGATTGACACGAACCCGACACGAATTAAGCTATTATCTGCCCCAAATGAATCAAGTTTAGGTTGACAGTAGTAACTCTAACTGAAAGAAAGAAATGCCTAGTATAGACAACGTGTTTAAATTGAATGTGGACATTATTATTATTATTATTATTATAAGTTTGGGCTTTGTGGTTAGAATTGAAGCCCAAGAAGGAAATCAGTACATATTATTTTTAAGGTAACAAACAGAGACATGTGACTGCCTGCTGCCACTCTGAATTTATTTTATTTTATTTTATTATATACTAAAAGACATGAATATACTACTACTACTTATTACAAAAGTGTGCATTGTACGCATCTGTTTGTAATAATTAATGGCTGAGACGGCGTGGGGTCAGGTGGGCGATACATACAAGCAAGTAATAAATGCTAGACAGCGATAAGAGAGAGAGAATTTTGCTTAATTATTATTACTCCCTTCATCTCATTATTTATTTATTTATTTATTTATTATTATTTTTTTTAATCT